GAACAGCAACTAGTGTAACCAATTCCCTGAAGATTGCTTGTAAGCAGAAAACTTACATACAAGATTTACTCTAGTACACAATTTGTAAAATCATCAGTCAACTCTCCAAAAATAAGCCAGCTAGTATTCTATTAACTAGGTATGTCACACTGCGGGGGGCTGTCTGCCAGACTACTTGCTGTTTCTCTACTTTGCTCATTAGAAATATGTTTAAAATGTAACCTGTTCAGATCAATAAACTAATAAAACAAAGGGGGAGAAACTATTGCTGAGGCCAGTGTTCCAAACAACTGTGGCAAGCATTCTCGATCAGGAAACTGGACTGGAAGAACATAGAGGAAGGTAAAAGAAAACAGATTTTAATTCTGAATATAATTACATATAAAGAAACTTTCAAACTTAATTTGAGAATGAAAATGCCCTGAGGCCATAAAATGATTAATTTTTCACTGTCTATTACAGTCCCAGTACTGACAGCAATTTGGTTTTAAATCCAAGACTCACGAAATTTGCTCGTCTTTTCTTAGCACCTCACCTCCCTGGAGTCATGCGATTACACTAGATTCTGAGTTTTCATTAAAAAAAAAAAAAAAAAAAAAAAGGTAAGCCTCCTGGTGGCAGAGAAAAAGATTGAAAACATGAACCCTAAAGACTCAATTTATTTTTAATAACGTCCCGGGATTTTTGAATGCTTGGGGTTGGCAATACTGTAGTCCAGCCACAGCACTCCACCTGCCGTCCCCACCCCCTTTCAAACACAAAACAAAACTTAGAAGACAGCATGATGAGTATTTCACCAAACTTCTAGCTTCGGATTCTAGTTTCTACTAACTCAATTGTTTTCTCAAAACTACTACATTTTAGGAATTAACAGTTTGAGACACCAGCTATTTGCAGTTGTCAGAATTACTAAGATTATTACCCTCATTTACAGAGTTTCATCTCAAAGGATTATAAAACAACTTACTAACTATATATCAGTCTTCAACCCCTGAAGTTTAGCTCCACTGGGTTAACATACGGTGGGTTTTTTAACGGCATAGGAAACATTATACAACAATTGTCAGGAAATCAAGAATACAATATTCAATTAATTGCAAGGGGAAGGCAAGTAAAGCAGAACGTAATTAAATAAATTGGAATTTGGACAGAAACTTGGCTTTATGTCTCATCGAGAAGTCAACACCTATAGCACCATAGTGTGTGTGTTTATAGACTTTTCTACGGCACTAACTATATTCAGACATGAACTTAAGCACATGCTTAGCTTTAAGCAGAGGTAGTCTCATAGAAGTCATTTAATTTATCCTGTGACATTCTGAATTACTATCCACCCCACTTTATAGATTGGCACACAAAATGAAGCAGTTTGCCCAAGATTACACAGGAAAATCGTGGAAGAATGGAACTCAGATCTCCCAAGATCTTAACCACAACACTACACTTCTGCCCTCACCATGCTGGGGCACTAATTTGAAATTAACTCACCTCTCAGACCAATTACAGAACAGCTCTAACTGGTATAAGTGATTTCCTGAACAAATGCTCCTAATGCAGAAGGATGGTGACCTCAGGAAGGAATGGCGGTAATGGGAATACGCGGGCAAAATACTCAACAATTCAGAGTACACAAAGGCCTATTCCCTCTTGGGAAAAAACCCCAAACTGAATTTGTCCTTAAAAAACAAACCAACCCTACACTTTGGTTGTTTGCTACTGTAATGTAGCATGTAAGATGTTGAACAGCATAAAGTCTGTTTAACTGTTTTCTACAGATAAACAACAATCTTTGCTGTTTGCAAAGTACCTATGTTTTATAAGCCCCAGAACAAGATACCATACTTTCTTTCATAAGAAGATGCAGTCAATCAATAATTACTCATTCAGGTAAAAATAAAATACTGAACTCTAGCCAAAAAGATTCCTTCCCCTCCACCCCCCTCACAAATTCAGCACACTAAACTTTATCTCAATACACAACAGCACTGCAGTAGTTAGTACTGCTTGATGATTAACAATAGTCAAATACCAGGTAGTAAGTAGGTGAAATAATTAACGTACACACTTGGAACAGTTACTTATTACTTCTCTTGTTCACTTTGAGGGTTGTAATGTCTAAGTCAATTTAAACAGCTGATTACATAGAACCACAGAAATGAAGGGCTGGAAGAGACCTTGAGAAGTCATCTAATCCAACTCTCAGTGCTATGGCAAGACCAAGTAAATCTAGGCCATCCCTGACAAGGGTTTCTCCAAATGTTTTTAAAAGCTTTGATTGATGAAGACTCCATGACCTCCCTTGGAAGCCTATTCCAGATCTTAACCAACCTTATAGTTAGAAAGTTTTTCTTAATAATCTAACCTAAATCTCCCTCACTGCAGCTTAAGCCACTCATTTCTTGTCCTACCTTCATTGGACATGGAGAACAACTGATCACCGTCCTCTTTGTAACAGCCTTTAACATATTGGAAGACTTATCAGGTCGCCCCTCAATCTTCTTTTCTCAAGACTAAATATGGGAAGTTTTTGTAACCTTTCCTCATAGGTCAGGTTTTCTAAACCTTTTATCATTTTTGTTGCTCTCCTCTGTATTCCTTCCAATTTGTCCACATCTTTCCTAAATTGTGGTGCCCAGAATTGGACACAGTCCTCCAGCTGAGGCCTGACCAGTCCCAAATAGGGTGGGACAACTACCGCCTGTGTCTTACATACAACACTCCTGCTAATACACCCCAGCTGTCTTTGCAGCTGCATCATATTCAGTCATTCTTTTCAGAAGTACTATCACCTAGACAATTATTCCTCATTTTGTAGTTGTGCATTTGATTTTTCCTTCTTAAGTGAAGTACTTTGCACTTCTCTGTATTGAATTTCATCTTGTTGAATTCAGACCAATTCGTCAAGGTTATTTTGAATTTTAAACCTGGCTGACAAAATGCTTGCATCCCCTCCCAGCCTGGTATCATCTGAAGATTTTATAAGAATACCATCTACTCCATTATCCAAGTCACTAATGGAAATATTGACTAATACTGAATGCAGGACTGACCCCTGTGGCACCCCACTAGCTATGCCCTCCCAATTTGACAGCAAACCATGCCTAACTACCCTGAGTATGGTCTTTCAACCAGTTGTGCACCCACCTTATAATAATTTCATCTAGACCACATTTCCCTAGTTTGCTTATGAGAATGTCATGCAGAAAGGTGTCAAAAGCCTTACTAAAATCAAGATATATCATGACTACTGCTTCTGCACTATCCACTAGGTGGTAACCCTATCAAAGAAAGGGTACGTCTACACTACGAGATTAATTCGAATTTAGATAATTCGAATTTGGGAAACATTGTATAAATTCGATTGTGCGCGGCCACACTAAGCACATTAATTCGGTTTTTAACCACATTAATTCGGTGGTGTGCGGCCACACTACCCCATTAATTTTAACCACATTAATTCGGTGGTGTGCGGCCACACTACCCCTAATTCGAATTTACAAAATCGATTTTGGTGCTACTCCGCTCGTCGGGGTGGAGTACAGAAATCGATTTTAAGCACCCTTTAATTCGAAGTAACTGGCTCCGTTGTGTGGACGGGTTAAGGATTAATTCGGATTAACGCAGCTAAATCCGAATTAAAGTCGTAGTGTAGACCAGGCCAAAGAAATTAAGTTGGTGTGGCATGATTTTTTCTTTACAAAATTCCTTATAATCCCATTATCCTCCAGGTCCTTACAAATTGACTGTTTAATAATTTGCTCCAGTATCTTTCAGGTACTGAAGTCCGGTTGATTGGTCTATAATTCTCTGGGTCCTTCTCCCTCCCCTTTGTAAAGATAGGTACTATGTTTGCCCTTCTGCCATCTTCAGGGACCTCTACTGTCCTCCAGGAGTTCAAAGATAATTACTAATGGCTCTAAGACTGCTTCAGCTAGTTCCTTAAGTACTCTAGTATGAATTTCATCAGGCCCTGCAGACTTGAATACATCTAATTTATCTAATTATTCTTTAGACATGATAACAATGTCCCACTAAAGTAAGTGATACTTTAGGTCATCTATTTTTCTTATCTGTATTTAAATATATATGCTTAGATCTGTTCTAACAAAAATACTCCCACAAAATCCAAGCAATGTTTGCAATCAACCACTATATTTATTGCTCTAATTAGTAAGGAATAGTTTGTGATTCAAGTAATAGCTATAGTATAGTAGGCTGATGGAATTTTTAACGTCAGAACAAGATTTTATAATTCCATGTTTCTCTGAGATAATATAGCTAAATCAAAAGTTTTATTTTCTTAATAAAGAGGTGGTACAAGCAGTCAGACATCTTGGATTCTGATATAAACTACTGATTATAAAGAATGATAAAAAGCTACTCCTTCCTTCCATCACACTCTCTTGAAATAGTATTATGCATTAGTATTTCAAACTATTTCACAGGTTCAAAAAGCTTAGAATCAGATACTGGATATTCAGTAAGAGAAAAGGAATGAAGACTTTAACACAGAGCTGCCACCCAGGTCACACAGGCAGGGCGAACCAGAGGCGCAAAGGTCTGCCCACGTGGATCCGACTGCAAAATCGGAGCCTAAATCTGGTGATCCAAAGAGAGAACCCCCTAAACGCTGTGTCACAAAGGCTATCAAATTACAGTGCTTTCCTGTTTCAGATAAGCAAGTAAATATTAAGGCATGAAATTTTACAAAACTGTAACAAAACAAATACCCACCTATGTTTAGTTTCAAGAGTTAACAACTAAACAAAATTAGAAAATCTTTCACAGACAAAAGTCAGTAGATTTTCTTACTGAGTTACAAGCTGCATTCCCTTAATTACTACATTAAGGTTAGAATAAAAGTTATTATTGGTCAAACAGTAGAGAAAAATAGCGTTACGTGCATGCTATTAATCCTACAAATACTACCAGAGTGAATAGATGGCACTAAAAAAAATAACCCTATGTAGACCTCTGTCAAATCCTTGATTAATATTTACCTGGCAAAAGTACTGGTTCCAGCTTTTTAATCTTGGGCTCTGGGGTTATTTTGTCTTCAACCTGAAACACAATAGCAACACCACAAAAAAGTTAAAATACTTATAAAATTAAAGATATACATAGATTTTCTGATCTTCTTGGGGCCACTTTTTTAGTTTAAAAGTTTTTGAGTCCTAAGTTTCAGGTCCCAATTCTGCAAAGATTTACACATGTTTAATGCTACACACTCCATAGACTTTAATGGAACTACTAATAGGTCTGTATATACTGGGGGGGGGGGGGAAATCAATTTAAGTTACACAAATTCAGCTACGTCGACGTACTTAGATCTACTCACCTGCTGATACTCCCCCGTTGACTCTGCCTCTCGCTCCGGTGGAGTACCAGAGTCGACGGGAGAGCGCTCGGCAGTCAATTTATCATGTCTAGACTAGATACGATAAATCGAACCCCGCTAGATCGATCACTGCCCATCAATCCAGTGGGTAATGTAGACAAGCCCATAGTGTGTAAACTTAAGCACATGACTAAGTCTAGTCTTTGGGGCCCCAGTAAGGGCCTGTCTAGACAGGCCCTAAATTGCTGGTTTTGCAATAAGATCTATGCATGTGCCTGCACAGACCCCCAGTGATTTAAACAAGGTTCTACACAAGTGTAAGCATCTATCTGCATGAAGAAACGTATAAGATCAAGGCCTAAATTTGATGATTTTTTTAAAAGGCACCTTATAAACCATTTTATGTTTAAATTCTAGACCTTAAAAAAAAAATCATTAGTTTAAACAGATACAGAAAACCTCAGTTGACACAATGTAACTATTTACATTTCCCATAGAGACAAGGATGCCCTTCCCAGAAAAAAAAACAAAACAAATAATTTTTCATTGTCATTTCTACTTCACTGAAAAAATGTGAAAAAAAATCCAGTTTTTTATTTTTGGCCATACATGTTAGTACGACACAGCATCCAACTTTTCAGCTAGTAAGTCACACCCCATAAATCTAGATATAAAAATCACTCCTTCTTTAGGGCATGGCAGAAACTCACACTGAAGTTTAGAACCTTTTCATAATAGTTTTACTGAAACATACCATTTTATTGTCAGCTTTTGATTTCTAGTTAGTGATAATAAGTTTAATGAGTACCGTAGCAGCTTAAATATTTGCATATAAGGAACAAGCACTTATGTTTTCTCTTTAAAGTAACCCAATATTTGACTAGTGCTAAAACAAGGTTCTAGCACTTAATCACTGTAAAAAGGAAAGTAAAGTCATCCACATATAGCTAAAGTTAGTACAAACCATCCGAACTTTTCTTAGGTTGACAAACTTTAATTAGTTTAGGATTGTGTTTTGGTTAAAAAGTTGTTGCTTCCCTGTAGTTGCAATATAAATGATCTACATAGAGTTTGTACCTGATTGGGAAGACAAACCTAGACAAAAAGGGGGCACCAGTATCCAGACACCGGCCAATTCCAGGGATGCTGCTGCATCGCTCGGGGGACACTACCCAAGGAAAGTTTTCTTAGCACAGCCGACGAGGGGGTCTCGCTCACGCGCAGGTGCTATTTAAACACCGCCGAGAGCCATTCCCGGGCTGATAAGTGTTGCTGAGGGGAAGGAGGGAAGCCGCCCCAAGGAGACCCATCCCCTGTCCCCGGCCCTGCCCGCAGCTCTAGCGCGCTACGCCGGGGGGAATAGACAGAAAGGGCTGTTACCTGCGGCAGAAGGTAGGACTTGAAGGTGGGTTTCGCTGGCTTGAGCGAAAACATTGCGGCTGCCCCCCGGCAGTCCCCGCAGGAGGCTGCTCCCCGGGTGAGGCAAACAGCGGGGTGAGCCCCCAGTCCTGCCCGAGCCAGGCGGGGTTCGAGCCCCCAGGGCTGCAGGCTCCCGGCGCTCTGGAGTTATGAGGCGAGGGAAGGCGGCACCACTGCCCCCCCGTTCCCAAGGGAGGAGTCAGCCGGCTGGGCAGGTCCGGCCTGGGGCTGCCCCGGTCCCTCATGGAGCCCACGTCAGCCCCGCTGCTCCCTCCCCTGCGGGCCGGCGTGGGGGCGGGGACGTGTGAGGGGAGCCTCCCTGCCCTAGCAGCTCCCTGCCTCCAGCAACAGGAAGCAGCGGCGGCCTTGCTGGGCCCCGGAGGCTGGGGCCTGGGCGGCCATGTTGGAGGCGAGGCTGAGTGTGTACGGCAGCGCGGAGGGGCCAAGCGGCCGCCCCCAGAGGCGTTCCCCCCCTCAGCCGCTTCCCCTAACCCCTTCCCCTGCTACGTGTGTGTCCCCACCCCCGCGCTGCGGGCAGCCCGGCCGCACGCCTCGCCGCTGGGACAGGGGCCCGCGGGGCCGTTCCACGGGCATTTGCCAAGCAGCAGCCCCGAGGGGGACCTCGCTGATCTCCCCGCTTTCCCCTGGGCTTGGCTCTGCACAGCCTCAGCCTTGCCAGCCCCAGGGAAGGGGACGCTGCCTCCCTCCCTCGGCTGGCCCCACTGCTGTGGCTGCTGCAGCAGCTTTCCATTTACAATTTACAAGCCTGAGTTTGCCTCACCTCATTGGACAAGGTCCTTTCTGCTTCAGCAACCACATATAGTCGGGGGGTGGGGGCGAGGGTTTGTATGCACGCACATTTTGAGGTTAACTAGACAAGCTGCTTTTGAGATCTGCGACCCATGAGTCCCCAGAGCTGGCTTCTGGCCTGAAACGACGGGCTTTTGGAGGGTTTCAGGCCTGCTTTCAAAATCTCATGCCATTGGGTGCGGCTATGGACCTCATAGCTGCCGCACCACAGCTGAGACAGTGGCATCAAATAGATTAGAAGGATGGCTCCTGCCAACATAGGCTACAGCAAAGGCAGCCTTTGGCACCTGGAATCCCACTGTTGTCAAAAGATACTTTGTCAGGGATAGTTTACTTTCAAGATTTAAAACAATAAAATATATATGTAACACCATATGTAATATTTGTTTCTCTGTGTAAGAGTGTGTGTGTGGTACCTGCGTTCATTCATTCCAGAGGAAAACCTCAGGCTTTTCCATTCCCGGTCATAGGCAGATATGGGTGTGCTTACACTACTTTTGGAAAAGCTGTAATGCTCCTTTCCCCTTCTCATGCAATCTTACTTACCAGGATCAAAGAAAAATCTGAAACAAGAATTAATAGCTAGCTAATCTATCCCTCAGTGGGAGAAGAATCGGACTCTTGGGCCATATTCTAATTCTATTACCATTAGGCATGTTGAATTAAATCCATAGGACTACTCAAGGAGTAAGGAACTAGCCACAGTGAGTAAGGGTGGCAAAATCTGGCTCTATTAATGTTTTGTTTACTCCTACTGCATTTTGACTCTATTGTGAGGGTATTTCAAGGTCACTTCCTCTGAGTTTCTTTTTCAGATGCTGGGATCAGTTCCAGCACAACTGTGAAACAGATGAAGAACTTAGGAAAAGAATTAATATACCTACAGAGAATACTTTATGTAGCACTGTGAGCCTAACCAATACCCTATTCCCTTGTCAGCCAAATAATTTCTTAGAAAAATATTTCTCAACATTAGACATTTTAGTACTTTATAGCAGTAGCTGTCTGTAGTAATTTTATGTATTTATTAAAATTACAAAAATAAAGTACCTGATTTGTCTGTAAACATAGCCCACAGTAATACTTAGTTGCACAGTGCAACATTTTCAGAGGGCTGAAAAACCATTAACTATTTAATCCACATCTTTTGTTAAGTGAGTATTCTGTCCATTTCCGATAGTGAAAATGAGAGAGAGATCCACACAGCATGGAAACACAGAGCCAGGGAAAAAATTCAGGAGTTTTTGGTTTGCAGTCAATCAACTTCTCATTTTGTCAAATTATTGTCTGTTTCCACTTGGCTGTGAGCAAATATAATAAATACAATAATTTTAATGTCTAATAGAATAATCCTGACTAGAGCATTCAGCATAGTTGCTGCATCACTTGGAAAGTGACAGTTCAGTGAAAGCTCAACACCAGTGCTGGCTGAAGAAAGTTAAATGATGGTCTGGGAGGATTATTTGTTACACTGACAGGCTTTTCACACTATGAATGGATTGAAATAACTTCTGGATTAACTGCTTCCCCCACCACCTCCTCAACCAACACTCTGAAAATTTTGTCAACTGGAGAATGTATTGTGGTCTCTCACATATTCTGTTTTTTTTTTTTTTTTTTAAAACACACAGTTGTACAAAATTTTAAGTGAAATAAAGAGAGATCATTAATGGTTTATAGCCGTGGCCATATGAAAGAGTAAACATGAACATTCATATAGAAATATAACATACCTCAATAGTCTGTAACATAACATAACACGGGTGTGGTGCACACCTATGTGGAAGATGATTCTACTCAATTCCTCTGGTGGTGCTCATGTTGCTAATTACTTTGGACCTAGTAGTTTGGAAGGAGCTTTGGGAGAGAAAATCTTAAGCATTACCTTGTAGATACCCTCATATTTTTCTGTTGGGGTTGTGTATGGAGTTTGTTCACAAAGGCCTGCCCCAAAACCTACGAGAGGCCAGAGCCATCTGTATGGAAACCCTATAACTCTGGCCTACAGTGCAGCTCCAGGAATTTTTCTCCTGCCTGTGTCTGCCCATTTAGGGTGGTCGTAGCTATGTAGAAAATATAATGCTGCCCCTGGCTAGCCGTACTATCTTTTCTGCTCAAATTCTGCAGAGCTAGATGGGAAACAATGTGTGGCTAGCTGTCCTGGCCCTTAATTCATCCATACCCCCAGTTAGCCTGTCTCCAATCCTTTTCTCTGTGTAACCCTACACTTGAAGAGTGCCCTTTGCAGGGCACAAAGGAGAGATGGTGCCAGGGAGATGGCTGATGCTCTTTGGTACAGGATCTGTGGGAGTTCTGTTCAGGAAGAGTCATTTTTGCACACACCTGGGAAGGACAATCCAGGTCTTTATTTTTAATGCTCAAGTAGTGGGGCTGAATATTCAAGTTGTCATAAATGAGTTTCCTAGCCTGCTTTAACAATGAGTTAACAATCATAACAAAATCATTACTATTTACTATGAAGCAAAAGGTTAAAAGGAAAACTGGCGTAATTTTACCTTAAACAGCTAAATAGATCTCGGTATAGCTTTCTGTATGGTATCCCTTTATTAATAAAGAAATCAATATACCATTTCAAACTAATAAAATCAACACAGTTTTAGAAATACCTGCTCGTGTCACAGTAGCTCTAGTCCAGGGGTCGGCAACGTTCGGCAAGAGGCTCGTCAGGGTAAGCACCCTGGCAGGCCAGGCCAATTTTATTTACCTGCTGACGCGGCAGGTTCGGCCGATCGCGGCCCCCACTGGCCACGGTTCGCCGTCCCGGGCCAATGGGGGCGGCGAGACGCCGCGGCCAGCACATCGCTCGCCCGCGCCGCTTCTTGCCACCCCCATTGGCCCGGGACGGCGAACCACGGCCAGTGGGGGCCGCGATCGGCCGAACCTGCCGCGTCAGCAGGTAAATAAAACTGGCCTGGCCCGCCAGGGTGCTTACCCTGGCGAGCCGCGTGCCAACGTTGCCGACCCCTGCTCTAGTCAATAGCCCTGATTCAAGAAATATACTTAGGCAGGAAGGGTGCTTTAAGCCTAGTGAAGTACATGTGTTTTAGGCATGTACTTAATTTTAAAAAGATATGCATACACTTAAGTGCTTTCCTGAATCAAAACCAATGAATGGGAATGTTATCCCTCAGTGAACCCTGACAGCTTATACTTTCCAGAAGAGGTTTGCTCATGGAAAATTAAGCAAACACTTATGCACATTAAAAAAACTTTACTCCAGTGAGAAATATAATTGAAGTTGGGCTGCAAAGTATGATAGGATTTAGTTGTCATGGGTAATTTCCTAGTTAATTGTAATCCAAAGGGGATTGAGATAACTAAATCCACAAGCAGAATTCTATCTTTAGCTAAAATCATAGGCCAAAAGAAAAAAATGGGCTGACTGTGATTTTTCTGATGTAGATTTTATGCAACAGTTGAGCTATGTTTCTAATATACAGTACCTCGTCCATACTCCCGTAGGGTATTATTTAAATAGTTTTACAGTAATACTGTATAATATATAGAATGTGGGCACATGGAGAGGAATATAGAACTCATGTAGTAATATATGAGAGCACAAAATTTATTTTGCTCAAACAGCTCTGTACTGCACATGCTGGTCCTGATTCAGCAAGCACATGCTTAAACATTGAAATTATGGGCCTGTTCACAGGCTTAACGCTAAGCACGTGCTTTATAGGCTCAGGCTTAGAGTGCTGAGAAACTTACAGGCTCAAGTCCATTAAGGACTTGTCTACACAGGGAAATTTACTGATACAATTCTAGTGGTATAACTTCCCATATGGACACACTTTTTCCAGTTTAGCTTATACTGCTGCCAAAGCAACAGACTAAAGCAGAAAAAGACATTCTTATTCCAGAATAAGTGTGTCTACATGGGGAGTTATACTGCTATAGTATAAATAGACTCGTACAATTATGCCAGTAACTTTCCGTGTAGACAAACCTTAAAAATGATTGTGGACTGAGTTGGAATGGCAATTGGGTGTTATGTAATAAAATGCAACTGGTTGTCATTTGGCTGTAGTCCCATAGTCACAAAGGGGAAACACAAAGCCCACATGGGGGGTGGGGGGAGAGGGGAAAGTGAGATCCTGCCTTCTTTACTGTACAGTTAACCTGTCACTCTATGTTTTCATGGAGGAATTTACCTTGTCTAGTGCTTAAAGCTAAGGACTAGGAGTCAGAGTTCCTGCTCCTGACTGGCCTTGGCCCTGATCCAAAGTCCATTGAAGTCAACGAAATTGAGCTTAATGGGGTTAGAATCAGGCTCTTTG